TGACTGAAAATTCTTAATAACTCCATTCTTCCCACTCCTTCCCATTCCACAAAAACAATTATTCATTCAACAGTTTATTTTTGAAGTGCTTATCATGTATCAGACACCATTACAAATGCTGGAAATACAGCAAAGTCCTTGTCCACGGAGCTTACATTTTAGCCTCCTCTTATGATACAGTGATAGGAACACTATTCTACAGTAAAAGGGACGGGGGAAAATAGGGCAAGGCTGAAAATATGGGCATATAATAGATAATCCATGTGATTTCTTCAAAGTGAAGCTTCAGGGTAAATATTTTAAATTCAAATTGCAATTGTAAAAGAAAAGAAAAGTGGTCTTTTTTTGGTAATGAATAAGCACCTGATAATTTTCATGTTTGATATGTTTTGATTTTCATGTATTAGTTTTGCCTGCACAGAAACATATGTGGCTAATTTTCTTAACAGGATGTGTGTGTGTGTTTTCAGTCTTATCTGACTCTTTCAGACCCCATGGACTATAGCCTGCCAGGCTCCTCTGTCCATGGAATTCTCCAGGTAAGAATACTGGAGTGGGTTGCCATTTCCTCCTCCAGGGGATCTTCCTGATTCAGGGGACCCAGGGGACTGAGGGATCGAACCCACGTCTCCTAGTGGCTCTGGCACTGGAAGGCAGATTCTTTACCATTGAGCCACGTGGGAGTCTAGCTACACCAACCCAATAACACTAAGAGGTATGCTCTTTGGGAAAGTACTAAAAATTAAAAGGCTGCCACATCATACCACTGAGCATGGTTCAAACTGCTTCAAAAATTGTTAATATTCTTCTCTAAACTCTAGTTTCTTTCCTACTTGCCCATGAGAAGCAGCTTTGCTAAAACAAAGTTGACTGTGACCTCTGATTATGAAATATTTAATTGTAAGATAATATTTTATTCAAAGTACTACACAGGTATTTCTGCCTATATTTTAATCTTTTCAATCTCTCAAACAGGCTAGTGAACATGAATTCCTAATCCCCATAGGCAAGCTTATCTGAAACAGAACTATATACTATATATGACTACAGATACACATTTCAAAAACTTAAAAAAATAAGTTGCATCCTTTTAAAAAATGATATGAAAAATGTCTTCAATTCCTAGACAAACATTTTATTTTCTACTATTTTCAGTAAGATTAGTGAATACATCCTATACCGAGGTTATCTGTTCTTTGTCACACCACCTATCGTCAACTGCCCATCACTCTCAGCACCTCTGAGTTCCCCCAAGGTTACTACTATCAACTTTCTTATCTACCATCTCATCACTGGTCACTGCCTGCACCAATGATTCCCTACATAAGAGAAAAGACCCTTAGGGGCCTTCTGAACATTTGTGAGGCCATTCTTGGTTGTCACGATAAGTGGGATAGGAGCGAGGGTATTTGATGGTTGGGGACTATTGATCCTAGCAGCCCTAAAATGTATGAGACATCACTGGACAACAAACTGTCTGGATCCCTTAAGGTTTCAAAAGACTCCACTGGACACTGAGTAGCTGAAAAGCCTGCATATGACCATCTTAGTCTAGGACTTTACTACATGTAACGTTTGTGTTAGTGAAGACTGAATTTTCCAGAAGTGCAGCTATCATGTAAATTGAGGAAAGATTCCACTTTTTAACCAAAAATTGTTCACAACTTGGGAGAAATTATAGTTTGCCGATGACAATGGCACTTATGGTATTTCAACTGCCAAGTAATGTATCTGAAATCAGCCTGTGTTTTTGCCATCACAATCACAATGATTTCTTTGGACTGGTGCAATATGCTAGCAACTGATCAGTATTTCACTGTGTCTTCTAATGTAATCATACTTGAGCACTTACATATTTAAATAGCAGACATGTCATTTTCTAATAAAATACTTATTGCACCTTTATGCTTCAACTACAGCAGTAGACTGCTTTTTAAAAATTATGTTTATGGGTATTTTTTATTAACTATAAATCTTTAGGATATTACAGGAGACTTTCATATTTGTTACAAAAAGGGGACACTGGGCTGGAAAGGTTTAGAATCACTGGCCTACACATGAGCCTTCACGTGCCTGGACTACTAAAGATGTCTCCTCACTGACAGCCTAGATTCTCTACACTGCCTTTTCCAAAGAAAAGTATCTAGAGATGTGAAAAAAAAAATCACCAATATTATTTCTATCTTCAAAATACCACAGGGTTCCAATTGCCTTGCAAATCAGTCCAGGACTGAGATTTTTACAACTTTCCATAAAGAGATGAGCTCTACCCAACCTAATATCTTATCTGCTTTACATCACAGACAGAACAATCCATTCTGAAAGTCTTATTTCTGGGAACTATAATCAATATTTTTTAATAACCTATAAGGGGAAAGAATCTAAATATATATATATATGTATGTATGTGTGTGTGTGTATATATACATATCTGAGTCACTTTGCTATATACCTGAAACTACCACAACACTGTAAATCAATTACAATTTTCTTTTTAAAGTTGAATAATAAAAAAAAAGAAAGCAAGCAAGCCTTATTTCTAAGGAGTCAGCAAGTCACAGGAGAAAGAGTGTTAGGGGACTTCCCTGATGGTTCAGTGACTAAGAGTTTACGCTCCCAATGTAGGGGGCCCTGGTTCAATGCCCGGTCAGGGAACTAGGTCCCTCATGCCACAACTAAGAGTTTGTTCATCGCAACTAAAACCCAGCACAACCAAATAAATAACAGAGAGCATGAGGACTTAGAACCCTAGGTCTGCCACTTACTAGGTGAAGTATCCCGGATGAGTTACCACTTTCAGAGTCTCTGTCTCCTCCTTTAAGTGACAACTGAAAAGGACCTTGCTCACAGGGTTGCGGTGTGGAATGAATCAGACACAGCAAGAACTCAAGAGTTTGCTACTTCAAACCTTTATCTGTTTTGTTCATTTACTCATTCCAAGGATGATACCTGGTTGGTACCCAGCAGTGCTCAAGAAATGTCTGTTGAATGAAAGCATATTGCTTTCTGAAACCTTTCCAGCCCATCTGACTCTCTTCCAGAAATGTATCAGTTAATCAGATAAGAATAAGTTGAGTGTTTCTTTGGGCGTGCTAAGCTGCTTCACTCTTTGCGACCCTATGGACTGTAGCCTGCCAGGCTCCTCTGTCCATGGGATTCTCCAGGCAACAATACTGGAGTGGGTTGCCATGCCCTCCTGCAGGGGGTCTTCCCAACCTAAGGACCTAACTGGTCTCTAGCATCCCCTGCATTGGCAAACAGGCTCTTTACCACTAGCGCCACCTGGGAAGCTGCACAAATTGAGTGTTTACTAGAAGAAAAGGGCTTCCTTCAGTTGGTAAAGAATCCCTCAGTTAATAAAGAATCTACCTGCCATGCAGGAAACCAGGGTTCAATTCCTGGGTCGGGAAGATCCTCTGGAGAAGGAAATGGCAACTCACTCCACTATTCTCGCCTGGAGAATCCCATGGTCAGAGGAGCCTGGCAGGCTACAGTTGAGGGGATTGCAAGAGTCGGACATGACTAATCAACTAAACCACCACCACAGAAGAAAATACCCAGTCTCTGCTCTTAAGAAACAAAGAAACTCTGGAAAATGACAGGGCAACATAAAAGATGTCACAAGACTGTGTATGACTAATCAACAGTAAGGACAGTAAGTGCTATGTATCTAAGGGCAAGACACATTACTGTGGGCGGGATCAGGATGGAATGTGATGTGAATAAGAGATAAAAGAGCCAAGTTTCCAGATTTCTCTCCAGTTAATCCATTCTTCTCACATACAGCCTGAGAGAACTTTACAGTAGCCCGAACCTGTCTCTCCCCTAAAGCTCATCAAAATGGTACCAATGTCCTCAGCATTGTCTACCTGTTTCTGTGTGGCTTACCAGAAGCTTCCATGTCCTGGCCCCCACCATACAAGAAGAGCACAGATCAATAAGGTAGCCACAAACTACATGTAGCAACTGAGTACATGAAATGTGTCTAAACTGAAAGGTCCTGTTAGTGTAAATTTCACTGGATTTCAAAGACTTAGTACCAAAAAAACCCCCAAAAAACCTAAACTAAAACATCTCATTAATAATGTTTATTTGATTTCACGTCAAGACATCACTGTGGACATACAGGATTAAATAAAAACACATTGTTAAAATTAAACCCACCTACTTATTTTTCACTTTTTAATATGGCTATGGAAAATCTAAGAACACGTATGTGGTGGACTTCCCAGGTGGTCTAGTGGCCGAGAATCTGAGCTCCCAATGCAGGAGACACAGGTTCCAATCCCTGGTCAGGGACTGGACCCCACGTTCCACAACTAGAGTTCAGATGCTGCAACTAAAAATCCCGCGTGCCTCAACGTGCCACAAGAAGACCCGGACCACCCAAAAGGAAGAGACACACGTGTGGCTCGCGGTCTGTTTGTCCCGGCCAGTTTCCTCTCCCAGCTCCACAATGCAGCCTGAAGAGACCCCTTGCTATAGCCCTGTGTCCCCTGACTCTGCAGGTACTACTGCTGGCGTCTGACACACTTTTCCCTCCTCACGGAGTTTGCTGCTACTCCATCTTCGGATCTTAGCTTCACACCGACGGTTACACCGCTCTCTCCAAGAAGCCTCCCCTGGCCGCTCACCCTTTAGCCCGGACAGACTGGCCTGGGGTCTCCTCCTAGGTGACGGGAGCATCCATCCCACAGCTCGTTATCAGACAGCAACTGCTTGCCTGCTGCTGGTCCGTCTCCCCCACAGGGGAAGCTCCTTGAGGGACCAGAGAGTCTCCCAACACGCCTACTCGTGGACGCGGGGCACAGAGCAGCACGAACGCTGAACGAACGAGGGGTGGGCCAGAGACGGTGAATGAACACCCGGGACGACCGCGGTTCGGGGCTAAAGGGGCGCAGAGGGGCGCGGGCAAGGCCTGCGGGGATCCGGGGGGCGCCAGCGGGCGGGCCCGGACAGCTCGGAGCGGGAGAACGGCGGAAGCGCCGGGAAAGACTCACCAGCCCGCGGTCGAGGTCGGCGTCCGACGGCTGGGCGGGGGGCTGCAAGGACCCGGCGTAGCGCAGGCCCTCGCCGGCGGGCGCAAAGCTGACCCGGATAGCCATGGCGGCGCGGCTCGGGGCCCTCGGAGCGCCGCGCTGCCTACGGGGCGGCCGCAGGGACAAACTAGTGAGGCCGGGACGCGCTCGCGGGTTTCACCTACGCCACGCCCGCCTCGGCGGCGGAGGCCGCGGCCCCAGGGCATCCTGTTCGCACCCAGCTTGTGCCGTCAAGTCGTTTGTTTCCCATTTGCAGACCTAAAGTCCACATCGGGACTCCGGGGACAAAGCCCGAGGAGCTTCCTCCCGCATCCTTACAATCTGATATTAGATCTGGTGTTGAGCCACAAGAGGAGAGATCCAGAGATGGTGCAGTGATTGAAGTTCCCCGAAAGTCCCTAAGACCCACACCATACCTGCCCGCCTAGACACACACACCCCAACTACAGATCATACTTCTGTTTAAAACCACAATTCTCCCATCCACGAGGGCAATCGAAGTGACCATCTGCTTATTCCGCCCCTTCCCCCCGTAGGACTGGCTATATTTAAGGTGAAATTACAAAGAAACTTGTTTTATTTTCCACCCATAAATGGTTTTGTGCTGACTTGGATATAGAGAGACCCACTTTGTTATTGTCCATCCTAAAGGAAATCAGTCCTGGGTGTTCATAGGAAGGACTGATGCTGAAGCTGAAACTCCAATACTTCGGTCACCTGATGCGACGAGCTGACTCATTCTAAAATGTTTTACTAGGCTTTCTCTTCATGTTAACCATACTGGATCAAATTTTGTAGGTACATAATATAGCCTTCAATATGGATCAACTTGTATCTACAAATCTTTTTATCAGGAAGTTTTCCTTGAATTATAGTCTTAAATATTTGTTCTGTCCCATTGTTTTGTTTTTCTTCATTGGAAAAAAAAAAAAGAAAAGACCCTGATGCTGGGAAAGATTGAAGGCAGGAGGAGAAGGGGACGACAGAGGATGAGATGGTTGGATGGCATCACCGACTCAATGGACAGGAGTTTGGGTAAACTCTGGGAGTTGGTCATGGACAGGGAGGCCTGGCGTGCTGCAGTCCATAGGGTCGCAAACAGTCGGATACGACTGAGTAACTGAACTGAACTGAGTGTGGGCCATAGCAGAGGGCGAGTGCGGGCCATAGCAGAGGGCGAGTGCAACTGTGAAATGTGTGGTTAGTTTTTATAGGCTGGTTAATTTCATATGTTGATGAGTGGGAGGATTATTCCAACTATTTTGGGGAAGGGGTGGAGAGTTCTACGATTTGGGTCACCGCCCACTCCTTGGTCTTATAACAGTGTTTTGGAACTGTCATGGTACCTTTGGGTGTGTCATTTCACTTGCTGATTGAGGATCAAGGTCTAGTCTTGTCTGCCATCTTCGTCCCATTTGATTCTAATCGGTTTCTGTTGCATCCTTGGGCTATGTCATTCTTTCAAATGTTGTGCCCTGACCCTTTCACTCCTGTTACAACACTACATTCAGTAGACTTTTGGCTACTATAAAAGATACACAGTGTGAAAGTTTCAAGTTAAGTTTCACCTGGGACAAAATGAGGACTGCAGTCTGGGAGACAGGACCTCAGATAGCTCTGAGAGACTGCTCTGAAGAGGTAGTGGGGGAAGGTCAGTATATGATTTTGGTGAAGGGGGAGCTCAATGCAATCAAGCACCTAACTTTCAAAAGGTTTTCTGCTAGTCGGGAGGAACTGATGTCACCATGAAAGGATTTAGTGCTTTTCTAGATATGAAGAGATGCAAGATTGAGATCATGAAAATATCTATCTAAAGACCTGTCCCACCAGTTTTCCTGGAGCACAAAGTGCCTCTTTCTCCACCCTTAATTCCCTTTAGGGTGTGTTGAAGGTCAATACCTGCAGCACAGGGTTCAGTCTCAGAGGGTTCATTTGAGAGGCAGATGCCAAATGTCTTGGCAAGAGTGAATTTGTAGTTGACACTTTCTTAAAGAAAAGCAGATATAAGTAATTTATCTTAGATATATCTCAGTAAAAAAAGGTTTTCAACATTTGTTGTTTAAAAAGATTTTGGCAAAAAAAATTGACCTCTGTGTGCCTCAGTTTCTCATCAGTAAGTGAAAGTGAAAGTCACTCAGTCGTGTCAGACTCTTTATGACCCCATGGACTGTTTAGTCCTGAATTCTCCAGGCCAGAATACTGGAGTGGGTAGCCTATCCCTTCTCCAGCAGATCTTCCTGACCCAGGAATTGAACCAGGGTCTCCTGCATTGCAGACAGATTCTTTACCAGCTGAACTACTAAAGTGAGGGATAATAATAGCACCTCCTGTAGGAGGATTAAATGAATTGACTTTTGTAAAGCTTTTAGAACAGTGCTGGATACTGAGTTAAATTCTATAAGTATTAACTACTATTTTACCTCTTTCATCTGTTTGCTTCTTTGTATATTTTCTTCTTGCTTCCCAGCCCCAACTGTTATGGGAAGGGAAGAGGGCAAAGCACAATGTTTAAAAGAATGATACAGCCTGAAAATAGGACATAAACTGATTATAACCAAGTAGGTCCAGGATAGCAAACCAGCTGACTTCCACTAGACCTTGAGCCTCAAGGATTCTGAACAAAGGCACTTGAGCTTACCAGTCAGACAGAGGGACTGAAGAAGGAAATGGCAACCCACTCCAATGTTCTTGCCTGGAGAATCCCATAGCCAGAGGACCCTGGCGGGTCCATGGGGTCCCAAACAGTCAAGTAAGACTGAGAACAGCACAGGCAGAGGGGCAGGCTTCTCTGAGTCAGGACATTATGTATGATTATAATAACAAAACAGGCAAAAAAAAAAAAAGGGAGTTAAAGAAACAGATTTAACATGGAAGAGTCAAAATTGACTCTTCTTTGTTACAGATAGATTACCAATGCAGAAGAAATTAAAGGCAGAATTGAATCAGAAGACTCTCATTTAAATAAAAGACTTTGGCTCTTAAAAAAAAAAAGAAGAAGAAGAAGAAAAAAGACTTTGACCCTGCAGATAAACATAGAGTACGTGAATAGACATAGTGGATCTAGTGTATGTCTGTAGTAGTAGTAACATAATAGCCCCTCCTGTGTGAGGATTAAATAAACTGACTTTTGTAAAACTCTTAGAACAATGCCATATACCTAGTAAGTTCTAGAAAGACCCAGGCAGGAGTTGGAGAAGTTAGTGCTCAAGTTGGCCATGGAAGGGTGACTACAAGTTTGCTGGATAGATAAGAAGGAGGCAGGCTTGGGGGGATGAGATAATGAAAGCATTGTATATGAACAGTCCTGAAAGTCATTCAATTTGGCTAAACAAAGTATGAAGAAGACAACAAAGTTGGATAAGGGTAGATAGATAACCAGACAAAGACCAGATATAGAGCAGCTTTGTTTATTAAGCAAAGGTATTTAGATTTTATTTTACACATGAAAGCAAGACATCAAAAAATGTCAAATGTGGCAGTGATATGATCAGATTCTGGTAGTGATGTGGGGTCAATGGACTAAAACTAAAACAGGGAGATCAACAAGAGAGTTATTTCAGTAACCTGAGTGAGAGGAAGAGATGTTGAGACCTAAACTCGGGTGCTGGCAGACACATGGCAAGATGTGCAGTGACCTTTAGTGGTCTCCTCCCACCTTCAATCCCTCGTGGCCCGACCAAACAAGGACCCAAGGACTGACTCGGTTCCCTACTCTCAAGAGTGCACCCACCACTCTGGCCATGATGTTTGCTCATGGATGGGTACATAGCCCTTCTGGGACATAGGAATTACTGGAGAGGTTTACTGGTTGCTTCAGGGAAAGCAGTTTCTTCCTAATCAGGTGAACATAAACAGAGAAGCATGAAGCCCTAATTGTGGTTGACAGTTGGTTGACAGCCATGATCTAGGGTGACCATGTAATTTATCATCCCAAACTAGGTCACATTTGAATGAAAGACAGTGCTATAAATAGTTGTGTTAGGACAATAGATGTACCTGGGAGTGTCCTGGCCTATCAGGACATATGGTGCCCTGATCGTTAGAAGGCTAGCCTGAGGATGCAGCAGACACCACTGAAAGTTACAAGGAAGTTAAGAAGAAACTGAGTCCTTAATCAGACTTCATTTGAAGTTTATTCCATTTCTAAAATATATAGTTTTGAAGTAAAAATTCTCTTTATTTTACTTTCTCTTTAATTTTGTACTTTAAAATGTAAGCATTTAAAGAGTAGAAAGAACAGTATAATGAGACCTCACATCCCCTAAGTCCAGATTAAACAATTGTCAAGATTCTGCCACAATACTCTTCTCTATTTTCCTTTTTTGAATGAAGTATTTTAAAGCAAATTAAGATACCATTTCATTTCACTCTGAATATTTTAGTATATGTTCCTGCTAAATATAGACATTTTCTAACACATCACACCATTGTGACTTCCAATAAAAATTAATAACTTTTTTTGTCATCTAGTTCAGATCTAAATTTCTCACAGTGTTACAAAAAAAATGTTTAAATAGCTGATTTCTTGATGTCTGGATCCAAACACAGTCCGCACACAGCAGTTGATTTTTGTGTCATGTTAGCTTCACAGACTGTGTGGATCACAATAAACTGTGGAAAATTCTGAAAGAGATGGGAATACCAGACCACCTGACCTGCCTCTTGAGAAACCTGTATGAAGGTCAGAAAGCCACAGTTAGAACTGAACATGGAACAACAGACTGGTTCCACATAGGAAAAGGAGTACCTCAAGGCTGTATATTGTCACCCTGCTTATTTAACTTATATGCAGAGTACATCATGAGAAACACTGGGCTGGAGGAAGCACAAGCTGGAATCAAGATTGCCGGGAGAAATATCAATAACCTCAGCTATGCAGATGACACCACATTTATGGCAGAAAGCAAAGAACTAAAGAGTCTCTTGATGAAAGTGAAAGAGGAGAGTGAAAAATTTGGCTTAAAGCTCAACATGAAGAAAACTAAGATCATGGCATCCAGTCCCATCACTTCATGGCAAATAGATGGAGAAACAATGGAAACAGTGGCAGACTTTATTTTTCTGGG